CTGATGAAGTTTGTAAAAGCTACTCTTGTAGCCGTTGTTGCACGGGACATTTTCAATAGAGTAACATTTGCGTCATATTAATGTATTTAAATTTAAATGCGGATAGAATCTTAAGTCCGCATTGAATACTGCAATATGTGGTGCTAAAAAAACTAGTTCTTCAGATGTTTGAACTCAAACAAACCTTTTTTGTAGGGATCTTTTTACCGTTACAATTTTAGTTTCGTTTATATATTCATAAAACGTTATAAATAAGTAATTTTCTAGAGATAATTTTCCCTTTTTTATTAAATTTAACAGTTGTGTTGTAGCACGGGACTGATATTATTCTCGGAAGCATTTTTTGAACTCAATCTTCTTATTAGATTACCCTTTATTAATCCTTCTTGAGTTCGAAAAGAATGTTGTTTATAAAAATGGGTAGAATACTGAAAGTAGGTAAAAGGTAAATTCAAAAATTAAAAATTACTTCAACCACCTGTTATATCAAAGTAGAAGTGGTTTACTGTAAACCCAAAAAATAATTACCGCTGCACTGTGCTGCAAACTTCGACGCAAATTATTTTTGAAATTTCCGAATTTTCAAACTCTTAAGCTAACAATGAAGAAAATATGCCGCTCAAACTATACGTTGCATAACTAAAAACTAAGTTTCTAAGCACTAACAAAGGTATTTTGTTGCTTGCGGAGACGAACCTAAAACACAAAACATTTAGTACTTGATAATGTTGGTAATGAGGCAGTTAATGAGATGGAAAAGGAGTAATTTAATGAGTAAAGTCAAAGTTTGCACACATTTGGTGTTTGAACAACTAAATTTGTACAACAAAGCGGTGTGCACCTTAAGCAAGGCTAGAACTCACGCGCTGCGACGGTCTTTCTGACGGCTTTTGCTGCTGACGGCGCAAGTAAATCCTCGCTCTCTCTCTCTGTATACCCGAATATATGTATTTATGAGTATGCGAAGTCTGCTTGCTTGAAAATTACCATTTAAATATGTATATGAATGTATAACCATACAAGCCGGCTGGATGTATTCTGATTGTCTCTTCTATCTAACTACTTTCTTATCTTCATATGCGCACTTGTTATCAACCGTTAGACATAAATACATACATGTTTGTGATAATGCATATCAACCTGTTTAGCTGTGTTTGCTTGCGAAATAATTGGAAGTACCAACTTTTAATTAACACAAATATGGAGATGAAGTCTAGTGAGAGAATAATATTTTATGTTCTTTACTTTATTTAAATTCAGTTCAATTTATTTTAATTTAGTAAATTCAATTTTAAGATCTTTAAGTTGTTTTATTTTATTTTACTTTATTTACTTTCATGTTAAATAATATTTTTTTATTATTTTTTAACTTATTTATTCTTTAATTAAATTAGTTTTTATTTAACATTATCGTATTTTTTAAAATTCATTACGCATCTTTTATTTAATTTAATTGAAGTTAATTTAATTTTTTATTTTCTTTCTTTATATTATCTTATTCCATTTAAATTTAATTTTTATTTTTTATTTTGTTTTAATTTATTTGTTTGGTAACCTAATTAAAATTTTTTATTTCAGAGTATTATATTTTTAATTCAATTTAATATTTTAATTAATTTAATTTATTTTAATTTTATTTATTTTTTATTTTATTTTATATTAATTTATTTTAATTATTTAATTTTTTTCTTCATATTAATTTATTTTATTTTAAATTAATTATTTTATCATATTTATTTTGTTGTGTTTTATTTTTTTATTTTATATTAATTTATTGTGATTATGAATTTAATTTTTTTATAAACTGTGTTCTATTTAATTAAATTAAATTTATTAATTTAACTTAATTTTATATTTCTTACTTTACTTTTTTTAATTTTATTATATATTATATATTTTGACTTATCATAATTAATATCAATTTAATTTGATTTAATTGAACTTAATTTTACTTTATTTTATGTAGTTAATTTTTTTTAATTAATTTAATTTAGTTGAATTCTACTATAAATTCTTTTTTTTCAATGTAACTTCATTTCCTTATTTCATATTAAAATATTTTATTTTTAATTATTTCGATTGATGTTTTTTATTTAATTAAATTTAATTAATTTATTCAATATAAGATTATCTCTTTTACTTTAGTTTATTTATTTTCATTTTACTTCATTTTATTTTATTATATTTTATTTTATTTTATTTTGTTTTATTTTATTTTATTTTATTTTATTTTATTTTATTTTATTTTATTTTATTTTATTTTATTTTATTTTATTTTATTTTATTTTATTTTATTTAAATTTAATTTTATTTTATTTTATATTATTTAATTTAATTTAAAATGAATTAAATTTAACTTAATTTAATTTGATTTTATTATTATCCAATAAGTTAATTTGATCCAAAAAAATGGATTTACTTTTTGGTTTATGGTATTACTTTAATTTGTTTTATCTTATTTTGATTAATTCATTCTTATTTAATTTAATTTTTTTTTTAATTTATGATTATTTTATTTTAATTTAATTAACGATTTTTATGTAATTTTATTTCATTTCATTTAATTTTTGTATTTTACACTATTTCATTTCGTTTTGTTTAAATTACATTTCAACTTATTTTAAGCAATTTTATTTCAATTTAACTTCTTACTTTTACTTTACATTTTTTATATGATTCTGCTTTGCGTTAAGTACTTATATTAAAGTAATTTTTCCATTTAATTTATATTAAATTTATTAAGTATTTATTTACATTTTATTTTTTTTCTATCTTTATATATCATTTATAAATTTATTTCCTTATACCTGCTTTGGTTTTTATACTTTTTCTTTTTTTTTTTGTCTTATATTTTATCCTTACATCATGTTTTCCGTTATACCCACAGGTGCTATCTGTTTAGAAGAGATTTTCCTTTTTATTAGGTGGTTATAATTTTTCATATAATTGTGTTATGTTTTTCATTTCTTCTGATTTGTATCCTCTTACTTCACTTCTCATTCGCATAGCATTCGTGTGTGGGCAATTTCTCAAAATCATTACTGCTACTTAAGGGATTAGCTCTCGGTGTTGAGATGAGTTGTGTTACAGAGCGGCTTATCTACAAAATACTACTTTTTTCGGAAGTACTTGCAGGGAGAAGAGCGAACAAAATTTATATAAAATTGTATCTTTATAGTGCTTTTCTGTTGAAGTACTTTTATAGTATGTATGTATGTGAATCTACCTATACGAGTATATATGTATGTACAAATCCTACAAACTAAGCTGGGTGCTTAATGTCTGCTGGCACGTGTCCAGTGTTTTTTTGTTTTACTTTTCTTCCTTCTATTATTTTTCATCATTTTTGTCTCGTCGCACCGACGACTTTTGTTTTTGTATATTTATGACATTGTTTACACTCTCACTATGACCACCAGCTGGCTGACTGGTTGTGAATGTCCATGAAAAGTGCTTCAAAAGTATTTAGAGAAAATTTTAGAGATTTTGTAGAGCAACAACACTTCACAAGTAAATGAGAGATTAGTTTCGGATTTACGAAATTTTAATGAGTTGTTGGCTTTAAGTGGTATTTAAGATTGTTGGAATTTAATAGTGGTTTAATGAATTAACACTTTTTAATGAGAACGTGGGTTTTCACTTCAAATCAGACAATGTTTTATTATTTTAAAATGTTTTTACTCTTAAAGAAAAAAGGTAAAAAATATCAACAGTAGTCCCGAAAAATATGGTTAGGACCATTTTTTAACTTTGGATTAGATATTAGGTGGAAACGAATGGATTTATCTCCGCAATCATTTAAATATTCGCTCTTGAGACGCTTTATCATCTAACTCGGAGACCCGGAAGTTCAGTAGCTCGGAAGTTTTCTCGGATAGTAGATATGACGTGAGGTTAGATTAGAGCATTTGGTCTGGTGAAAAGTTACACTTGCGTAAGTTCTGATATATCAATTTTATGCTCGATCAAAATTTCTGAATCTCATACCTTGAATTCCTTCCCTCAAAGACCATATAATAGGGTCCAATCTCAACATTGAATAGTAAGGAAATTGATCTAGTGGATTTCTTTTTACTAATCAATATTATTTGACTGCCAAAAAATTCTATTTACTTCCTTTACTACAACTCGATGTAAACCTTTTTTCGGTCCTTTTAACTCAGGAAGTATCAAGTAGCTTAGTGAATCCTGGCTTGCTTACCACCCGCTTTGCTGCATTATAAGTCTATATATATTTGTCATTGCCTTTAACATATCTTTATCGAGCCCTCAGGACTGCCAAGAGCAACGCGCCAACCCGAAGACCATCCTCGTTGTCCTCCAATCATGCTGACGTTGCTGAGAGCCAACCATCATACTCCTAGCACACTTACCGAATCTCATCAATTTTATCAGACATCGCTGTGTCTTTGGCCGTCTACCACTATTCGCGCCTTTGGGGGAAATCTCTGCAATACCGACCTCTATCACAAATAAAAACAGTGTTTATATATTTTTGTGTGGCGTTAGAGGTAGCTTCGCTCGACTCTGGATCGGTAGAGCTCACATCAACCTTTAACATATTCTCATATTTTTATGGTTATCATAGCACAGAGTGGTTCTTGCTTAAACCTCTTAGACGTAGCTATTACCAGTAGTAGTTTAAAGTGTTGACTCATTTGACTCCATTCATGTCACATTTTGAATCTTTAGCCCTCTCACTCATTAGAGACCGAAATTATGAAAGCGATCTATGATAATGAACTAGAGTAGCAGACAGATTAAGCTGTACTATGGATATGAGCTCAACTGTGTTTTGATGTGAATTGGACTTTATAGCTTCTCTAGGAAAGCGCAGACCGATTGCAGAAGCTCGGAAGCTTGGTATATATTGTACTTAAGGAAGCTACTTTCATCTGGAGAAACTGAGTTTAATCTTTTTTATGATTATAGTTGAAGCTGAAAGAAATATCGTTTAGCGGATCTTCAAAACTCATGTTGTGTTTTTCTTCTTCTTTCAGGTGACTGTTATTAATGGAAATAATGTTTAAGCTGCTGGTGGTACTAACAACATCAACATGCTTATTTTCAACTGTTAATTCCGGTGTACCAATTGGTGAGAATATTTATATAATTTCTGTCTCAGCACATTCATTTTAAGGAAAGAAGAAACGAAACAGATAAAGATAGAACAGACAGAGGTAGAGAGATAGAAAGAGGGAGAGAAAGATAGAGAGAAGGAAAGAGAGAGCAACAGAGAGAGAGAGAGAGTGAAATAGAAAGAGAGAGCAGCAGAACGAGTAATAAGGAAGGCATTCGACAGAGAGAGGGAGACAGAAATACAGAGAGAGAGAGAGAGAGAGAGAGAGAGAGAGAGAGACAGAAATACAGAGAGAGAGAGAGAGAGAGAGAGAGAGAGAGAGAGACAGAAATACAGAGAGAGAGAGAGAGAGAAAGAGAGAGAGAGACAGGGAGAGAGAGAGAGAGAGAGAGAGATAGAGAGAAAGAGAGCAGCATAATTAGTAATAAGGATAGAAAAACAAAGAAATTGGGAGGGAGAAAGAGTGTAAGGGAGAGAATGGGAGTTACAAACATTGAGAGTGGAAAAGAGAGAGAGATATAAGTAAACAGAGAAAGCAATAGCGGTGAAGAAAGAGGGAGTGAAGAGGTCGAGTGAAAGATATGGAAAGGAAAAAACTAAGTGAGAGGGATAGGGAGTGAAGAAAAAGAAGAGATGGAGAAGCGAGCGAGAGTAGAAAAAACTTTCCTCAATTATAAAAATTTATATTCTTTTCCCAATAACTCTCTAAACTCTTTACCCAGCTACTGGTGGCCCATCGCTAATTTACGAAGGCAAAGACGCCTTACTCACATGCGTTGTCTCAGAGAATCGCGCCAATCACACTGTGATATGGAAGAAATCCGACGAAATACTCACAGCCGGTATGGTGAGAGTGACAAGCGACACACGTATCAGCGTGTTACATGATGAGAGCGAATGGAAAGGTGGTAAGCAAAAAAGCAAATAAAAGGCGGAGAGCCGTGAAGTGTATAAAACCTCAAATATTCTCTTCCACCAGATCCAAAAGGGCTTGAATCGGGCGGTGAAGTGTGGGTGTTGCTCGTAAGACGATTAACCACCGAAGATTCGGGTAGTTATATCTGTGAGCTGAATTCGGAGCCGGTGCTCAGAAGTATACATATACTATTAGGTAAGATTTTAACTCACTTCAATGTCCAAGGAATGAGCTACTCATTTCTTTCTATATATACTCTCTTCGCATCCAGTCAAATCAGTCTCCTCGAACGATAGCAACATCACCACCACCACAGAGTCGAGTGATGTTTATCTGGTGCCCCCACCACTCGACGCCAACGACAATCGTTCCTTTTGGCGCGTACCTACCGTTGCGCCGCAAATCACACACGATTTCACCGAGTGCTGTGAGCGCGCCAATGTCAGCGCCGAGTGCATGGGTTTTTGCAATGTGCACAATATAATTGACGGTACGACAGGCATTGAGCCGGAAGCCTGCGAGCGCGACTTTCCCAATATTGTACGTTGCATGGCGGATGGTCGCGATCATGTGCCCTGCTGTGTGGATAAGCAGATACCCGATCTGTGTCAAGATATGTGTCGTGGTGAGTATACACCGTTCACGGACCTCCTAAAGACGCGTGTCTCATGCGTACATCACACGCTTAGCGGTCTACAGTGCATTTTGCAAGGTGTACAGAATATACCGAGCACACCGACGAGTGTCACCGTGGATCATGTGTCGGAGACACGTGTCACTGTGCACTGGTATGAACCAGAGAAGTTAGCACATAAGGTGGACTATTACAGTGTGAACTTCACGGCTCTACACAGCTTCGATGAGGATGAAGTGTCCAATTCATATGCGTGGAAGAAACGCCCACTGGAGCAGACAATTATACGCACGGTGCCCGTAAATCAGACCACACTTACGCTACAAGATCTCACGCCGCTCACCATGTACGCAATTGTGGTGACGGCGCACAATGGATACGGCTCGAGTTTGCCAAGTGAGCGTTTGCGTGTATTCACGCACACCAGCGAAGTATTTGCGCCACGCAATGAAGATGGCGAAGAGAGTGCTTCGGTGGAGAGCACAATGCCTGAGCTGCCCAACATACGTAGTTGCTGCGAGGCCAAGGGAATGACACACCGCAAGTGTTTGGATAAAATGTGCGATCCACAAAAGACCGATCTTGCTACGTTGCCCGACTTTATGGTCTGCGCTCCATGGTCTAACATAAGTTTCACTTGTTTGGCCAATAATATCGATCACACACCGTGTTGCCGTGCACGTGGCATACCCGCTGCCTGTTTTCCGCTGTGCTCAGGCAAAATATCAACATTGGACTTTAGTCTGTTCAAGTGAGTATGAATTTATTGGAGGGTAAGTAGTTGACTCAAGCTTAAGTTCTATTTTTAGGTGCCTTCGCCTCATGTCCGAGTACAGCAGCTGTCTGTTCCAGGGCTATGGCGTTTTAGCGGATCCACCTTCCATGATACGTACCGTGGCAAAGGCGGATAGCTTCATAATTCTGGATTGGGACAAACCAAAGCGTCTGGCAGATACTATCATCACTTACCATGTAAAATTTAGACGGTTGGGCGAAGGCGATGACTATCTGACAGTAGTGAAGGTAAGTTGGAGGGGATTGAAGAACCTTAGTACTTTGCAGCTACGTCCTGAGTGCTAAGGAGATCTATGATTATACCAAAGAAGAACTCAAACCCAAATAATGCCTGTTATTAAGGCTCTGATGGGGAGGCCCTTGGACAATAAAGCTATGAAATTCAATTTGCACTTCGTAATCTCTACTCAGTTCTGGCTCCTCATTCAATTTCTAAAACACCTTGTTTCCGAGTCTGACTTGGGTCCGGTTCGATTGAGTTCCTTGATTTCCCTGATTTGTTCGACGTATTGTATATGACCGCTGGTGATTAGCTCCTGATCGTACTTACGTTTAGTTTATGCAGCCACTCCAGGCAGTCCCTTGGGCTAAGTCGCAGTAAAAAGTCTGCTCCGCTACCTCTCTTGACCATACGAATATGAATTGAGGCCGAGCGTCATGACTCGCTTGCGAAAAGTGTAGATCTCGATGAGTTGCTTATGGGATGGAGTTGGGATAGAGAGAGCAGCCGCGCGAGTAAACCTCAGATCTGTATCCCAGAAATTGTGGATTTCAATAATGCTCCGACCACTAAAGAGATCCTTCAGACATTTTAACCTTCTGGATAATCTGATTTGCTAGGAAATGGGACCTCGTGTACTGAGATGAGAGAATAATATGATTTGCTTATATTTTTCTTACAGAAAAATCCACCACTCATTCTAGAGGGCCTCGAACCCGAAGTCTACTATGAGTTCTATGTAGTCTCCGTGAATCAATATGGTAAGAGTGAAGCATCACCACGTCTCATCACACGCACACAACCCGCCGAGGTGGTTGATGAGCCAGAACCCGTTTACAATATGACAAAATGCTGTCAGGCATCCGGTTTGCTGCCACAATGTGCGCCACTCTGTTCGTATAACATCAAATTATCGGATATTGAAAAGCTTGGACCGGCGTGTCGTGCACAAATGGGTGAGTAGAAGGAAGTGACCGAAGTGAGTGAAGAAAAGAAATTTATAAAAGAAAGTTTGGAATAATAATTTTCGCAAATATTTACAGCTAAAATTCAATTTGATACTCTTACGTTTGGTTTATTCTACCTTCTCTCTGTTCACAGCTGTCATCGTGCGCTGCGCTGCAGGCGGACGTGACCATACACCTTGCTGTCAGCGCCGCGGTGTGCCCACCGCGTGTATGACCATTTGTCGTGGCGTCATGCCACATACCACGAACGGAGGCGGTAGCGGCAGCAGTGGTGGCGCTCTGAGCAGTAACAGTTATAGCAGCAACAATAGCACGACGTCGAGTGATTGTTTGTCTTATGCTGGAAATATTTTGCAATGCATAGAAGAAGGTAAGTGAAACTCCTGGTGTTTATTGATATACTCGTGGATTATTTCGATACTGGAAGGCAGGTTGTAGCAAATTCTAATACGTGTGCAAGTCTTTCTTAATAAAACGGTGGCTAAGGTAGAAAGATAAGCTTTAAGGAGGTTTCCACTTCGTTAAAGCGAGGCCGAGCTCCACTTCCAATGTGCAGGAGCTCATAGAAGGGACTTACAGACCATTTTTTTTGGAGTTTTCTTTCATGTCAGATATACATTCGCTGGACTTAAGACTTAGCATATTCTCTGTCGAGGAGTGATCGCCATTAAAAGAAGTTGCAGAGGAAAAATATACAAAATATTTGGGATAAGAAACCTCTGACACTTTAAGGATCACAATTTGAAGGCATATATCTGTAATGTTCGGTCCCTTGATTGCGAAGGTGGCTCCGTCCAGCTAGTTGATGCTATCCTAGAACTAGACTCTCCACCATCCGCATCAAATTAAGGTGCTTCAATATTCGCCCATTTGTGCCTATGTGCCTATGGAAGAGAAGGGCGATGTGGTCATGTGGAATATAATGCCTGAATATAAAAAGAAGGTATCTCCGCGATAACCGTCAGAAAATTCAGCGACCATGTGGAAACAACACCAAACTAGCTAAGCTTGGTCGATTTCCATTAGCTTCACAATATGGTTTTCATCAAGTTGTCTTACAATGGGAGTCTTCGAATCGGAAATCACGTAGCGAAGTCAATCAGGTCGTGATACAGAGACGCAACTGTTTCAGCCCGTATCACCACGACTGCCAGTAAACAGAAGAAAGGACTTGCAGTCGTGGTCCCAGAGACCAACAACTCGATATAAGGGAATTAGCGGACGTTATTTGAAACTCTTTACCCATTATTGCTTTTAGAGAATGTCGTGTAAGGAGCGTGGTGGGGTGCTTGAGAAAGACGCAGAAATGACTGATGGATCTAACCAGGCTTGCTTTGAAAGTATTCAAATGCTTTACTGGCTGATGGAAATGGTGGACGCGAAAGGCCTGCACTTTATTGGTGGAAGGTGGAGAAAGACATGGCTTCACTTTATGTTTTTAATTGGAGCTGAAGAGCTGAAAGAATGGATCAATGGCGCCTGACGTGCTACTGTTGGCTACAATCGTGAAAGAAACACCTATGAAATGTATTTTTTTGATTGAATAGTGACTAGTCAGAGCCGTCACCAGCAGTGAAGGATGTAATTTAGTGAGAGTCAAAAGCTGCATTTTGCACAGGTTTGGGTAATGATAGATGAGGTGAGGTTCATCACGCTTTTAGATGAACACAAAAGAGCTAGAGTCTGGTAGCAGTATCCTTCCTGTGTTAACGGCTGAAATATAGCCTAATCCTGGTTTCAGCAGCATTGCACAACCAACGGCTCAGCTGCGACTCAAAATCAGCTTTGTCGAAAGGTAACTCAACACTTAAGAGAGGGAGTGAGCCATGATTTTATCATTACTTTCTCCAGAGCGAAGATTCAATCTGAGCTCGAGTTGCCTCAGTTTCTCGCTTTGTCCATTTTATATGTATTTTTGGCCTATTTTTTTTCTTTTGCGCACTTCTTTTGTACGTATTCGTAGGTACTTACGCAGATGAAATCAAAATCTCTTTAAATTAACATTTGTTGTTGTTCCTCAAGTCAATACAAGCAATCACGCATTCATTGGCATTCAAATAAACAACCTGACATTCTGTCAATGCCAAAAGGTAACAAATGACAGCAACAATAAATTAAAAATACATACATATGTAGCATTGCAACTGTATTAACATTGGCGCTGAAGGCAGACAATGAGTTAAGAAGCAACAGCAACAACAACGACAACAACAGCACGCTTTGTATTTGCCAATTAAGCAACAATTAAAGCCAATTTGATTGAGAAGCATGAGATGGCGTCTCACACACACACACAAGCATTAAGAATTACTCAAACATACACACACACGCACACGCACACAAGTGAATTTGCTAATTTGAGTTTTAACTTAAGCTCTCAAAGGCAGGTAAACATAACTATTTACTTGTGTGTGTGTATATACTCGTTTGCATGTATGGGTGTACTTAAGTTAATATGTATTTACTTGTGAGCAGCTCACACATACGTATATATATATATATACATATACATATGCACTTACATATTTGAGCATGAAGGCTATTTAGAGTCAATTACAAGCGCCAAGGATATGCCAATATTTGCATTTGTATGTAGTGGTGTGGTGTGGTGCAAGCAATAATATTTAAGTTGGCAATTACCGGGCTTATATATTGATAAATATATACACATGTACATATTATATATGTACATATTGCACAGTTAACAACCACTCCAGATCAGAATTCAAAGTACTGTCTTTTCGAAAAATCGGTTTTTGTCCAAGTTAAACTCTGTTGTTAGGGGGAACCTTAACTATACCAGGAAAGTTTTGTATGTTAGCCTCTAGTCTCTGGTCTCTGGGCTCTAGTCTCTAGTCTCTGGTCTCTGGTGTCTGGGCTCTAGTGTCTGGTCTCTGGTGTCTGGTCTATGGTCTCTGGCCTCAGGTCTCAGGTCTCTGGTCTCTGGTCTCTGGTCTCTGGTCTCCGGTCTCAGGTCTCAGGTCTCTGGTCTCTGGTCTCTGGTCTCTGGTCTCTGGTCTCTGGTCTCTGGTCTCTGGTCTCTGGTCTCTGGTCTCTGGTCTCTGGTCTCTAGTCTCTAGTCTCTGGACTCTGGTTTCTGGTCTCTAGACTCTAGTCTCTAGTCTATGGTGTCTCGTTTCTAGTGTCTGGTCTCCGGGCTCTAGTGTCTCGTTTCTAGTGTCTGGTCTCTGGTGTCTGGGCTCTGGTGTCTGGCCTCTGGTGTCTGGTGTCTGGTGTCTGGTGTCTGGTCTCTAGTCTCTAGTCCCTAGTTTCTAGTCTCTAGTCTCTAGTCTCTAGTCTTTAGTCTCTAGTCTCTAGTCTCTAGTCTCCAGTATCTAGTCTCTAGCCTCTAGTGTCTAGTGTCTAGTGTCTAGTCTCTAGTCTCTAGTCTCTAGTCTCTAGTATCTAGTATCTAGTATCTAGTATCTAGTATCTAGTATCTAGTCTCTAGTCTCTAGTATCTAGTCTCTAGTCTCTAGTGACTAGTATCTAGTCTCTACTATCTAGTATCTAGTCTCTAGTCTTTAGTCTTTAGTCTTTAGTCTTTAGTCTTTAGTCTTTAGTCTTTAGTCTTTAGTCTTTAGTCTTTAGTCTTTAGTCTTTAGTCTTTAGTCCTTAGTCTTTAGTCTTTAGTCTTTAGTCTTTAGTCTTTAGTCTTTAGTCTTTAGTCTTTAGTCTTTAGTCTTTAGTTTGTGATGTTTTGACTTTAGTGTTTAGTCTTCAACCCTCAGTCTTTAGCCTTTTGTCTTCAGTCCCTTGTCTATAGTCTTTAATATACAATCTACTTTATTTACACATTTTTCTTCTATTTTCAGGCACTGAAAGCATACCCGGCCCGGCTGAAGATGTCCATGCAATTTCTGTAACAAATACCACAATTACCTTGGCCTGGCGTCAACCAGGCTATGAAGCGAGCGCACCCACAGTAGCAACAGCGCTCAATAAAGAAGCCAGCGACAAAGACTTTGCCTCAGCAGCCACCTCCATCTCCACAGCTAACGCGAACAATGGCGACAGTGTAAACTCTTCAAACGCTAATGCCCACGTCACCGGCGGTGATGCGTCCGCATCCACAACCGCCACCAGCACCACTGATGATGATGATATCGATTTTATAGTCCAATATGGCAAAGTCAATAACATGACCCTCTATGAGACTGTGGCGAAACTGGAAAATGTGAGTATCAAACAACAACAACTACAGTATAAGTACTAGTATGTAGGAGAGTGCATGTGCATGTGCGTTGACTTTCCATTCACTAGCCGAGTAACAGAAATCTATTGAGCTTACTTAGTGGCTTTAGAGTAGCGCACATCTTGCTCTTAAACCGTGTTGGCGTGCATACCCGTTGGCAGCAGCTGGACGCTCTAGCAAACGCAGACAGACAGGCAGTCAGGGGGAGACGGTGAAGAGTTGAGTTGAGGGAGATGCTTCAGTTATTAGCGTCGCGTTTTTGGTTTCCTTTATTTTGCCTGTCAGCCATGCAAATTACCAAGCTTAGCTCGGCAAGCGCCATGTCGAGCTGCTCGCTTTGTGTCAATTCGCATTGTGGCATTTTTCGGTTTTGGCTTTCGTGCAGTTGGTTTGGCTTGCACTCTTGGCTCCTATTGACTATTGACTGGCTGGTGTGTGCCTGTGGCCTTCTTTCTGTGCTTAGTTGGAGTGCGGCAGCATTTTGTAGCTATTTAATTTCGGTTTTATTTGTTTGGGTTAATTGTGTTTACAACAGCGTTCGTTGCAAATCTTGGCCTTCCAATTTGGCATAAGTAAATGGAATTGAAAAGTGTTTACATTCGAAAAGTTGGCTAATTAGGTTATTTGTATAGAAGTGCATGGTGGCAGAAAGTAGCAGATGTGGGTTTGGGAAATCCTTTTAATTTCATTCCGTTTTCGAAAGGATTAATTGTTTATCGAGCTATTAATTGTGGCTTGGAATTTTCGAAGAGCAAGGAATTCGATTAAATGGCTGTCATTGTCCCGCTTGAGGGCTTTTACATTAAATTCATTTACTAATTAAAATAAAAATGGCATACATTTTGTGTCAGACTCAGTTTTTAGCCTTACGAAAATTTCAAGATTTATTTAAATTTCTTCTTCAGCTAAAACTCTCATACCTATAACCGGTTTGACGGTATTTGATATTGATAGCCATATCAAAATGAGACTGAGCTGGGAAACAGAGTTTTAATACCCAGAAAATATTAAACTGATGTACCCCAAGGGTCAAGTATTTCTTCTGTTTTTTTTATTTTTTTCTAGAAATGTCAAGCCCTCTGTATGTAAAAATAGACATATTTCCATTGATTGACCCTGAGCTTTGCTGATATTGATTACCAACGCTGGTCAAACGGGAAACTGTAGTCGCTTGAATTGAAAGAGACTACAGTTCGGAATAATAGGGATACAAGGTATGAAGATGTCTTCACCTTTGAAAGGTCTGTTAATACGTCTAGAAGTCAGATCAAATGACATTTTCCACTTGCCCATTTCCAGTAGCTGGGGTGTAAATACATCCGCTGAACGTTCTTTTGAAGGTGGACATCCATTTTGGTCGTTAATTGAGGATTTGTACAGGACGGCAACACGTTGAGTATTTCAGACAAGCATTTATTTTGTTCGCAGCCGCAAAAGCCGCGTAGTTAGCTTTCACTAATTCAAGTAATGGTTCGACCAACGTCCAAAATTATAGATATACACTTTTGTATTTGCGGTCGGCCCTAAGAGTGTATTTTTGACTTGCTTCTTATATAAAAAAAAGCGGCTTAAAACCGACTATGGGATCCGTCATTTTTAGAAAACCACCAATAGGCACAACACAATATAAAGCAGAGGCTTGGCCGAAATTCACTTCAGCGAAATCAGTTCCATATCGGGGAAAAAACAAGATTCCATTTTGGTATATCAATCAAAAATTTAACTAAAGCGTGCCCATAATATATATTTTTTGAAAGAGATCGATCCATTATTAGTTGGAAAAAAGTCAATAGAAATAAATCGAAGCCATAAACACGATTTTTTTGAACTAGTCAGTTCACCTTCCACAAAAAATACTCGCAAAATCCTTTGCATGAACCACAGAAACAAATTGATGAAATTTTGGTACAATCGGCTGTGCAGTCGCGGAGATTATTGCAAACAAATATACCGACATTTTTTTCATATATATATACATTTTTTTTTATTTTACTTTTATTTTTACATTTATTTCCATTTAAAATTTAATTTTTATATATATCTATTTTAATTTTTTTGTTCTTGTTTTTTTTACACTTGTCTTATAAGTTAAAATTTGTTTTTCTGTTTTAAAATTTGTTTTAATATATATTGGATGAGTGCATAAGTTCGTGCCCGATTCCGCTGGATGCCGTTCGAATCGTTTGGGAGTGGCGCTCGTGAAAGAAATATATACATATTATATATCGTTGGAAAGGTGACAGTCCGAACTGTAAATCAAGCACAAAATAACTTCATTTAGATTTGAGTTGCTTAGTGAAAAGACGCATTGAAGATGGACAACGAAAAAGATCATATGCGTCATATTATGTTATACGAATTCCGCAAAGAAAAAACAGTAGGCGCTGCAACTAAAGATATTCGCGGAGTTTATTTGGACCGTGCTCCAGCACTCCGCACAGTAAAGAAATGGTTCGCGAAATTTCGTTCTGGAGATTTTAACCTCGAAGATCAACCTCGCAGTGGACGGCAATTTCTTTGCTTCGACGGATCAAAAACGAACCTTTTTTGGATCGGCTCGTGACTCGTGATGAAAAATGGATCCTGTATAACAATGTTCAACGCAAAAGAACATGGAAACAGGCACACGAAGGGGCGGAACCGATGTCGAAAGGTGGATTGCATCCGTTGAAGGTACTGCTGTGCATTTGGTGGGATATCCGAGGCGTGATCTATTTTGAGCTCTTGCCAGATGGAGAAACGATCACTGCCAACAAGTATTGTCAGCAATTGGTCGAATTGAAGAAAGCAATTGATGAAAAACGTCCGATTTTGGCCAATCGCAAAGGACTTCTTTTCCATCATGACAACGCCAGGCCACATGTTGCAAAACCGACCCTGGCTAACTGAAGGAGATGAATTGGGAAATCATGCCGCATCCCCCATATTCACCCGACATTGCACCTTCTGATTATCATTTGTTTCGATCGCTGCAGAACAATTTGAATGGAAAAAAATTTAAAAATGTGGAAGACGTCAAAAACCACCTTGACACCTTTTCAACGACAAACCGCGCGATTTCTATGAATCAGGCATCCGTAAATTGGTTGAACGTTGGGAGTGGATTGCCGAACATGATGGCGAATACATAATTGATTAATAAAAGCGCTTTCTTCAAAAAATTTCAATATTAGTTTGCACTTCAAATCGGGCACGAACTTATGCACTCATCAAATATTATAATTTTAATTTATTATTTTATTTTAATTTATATTTTTTTGCTTGAATTTCATTTTGCTTTCTTTTTGAATTTTTATTCTTCTTTACCTTATTAATATCACTACTAGAATATTTTTTTATAATTTAACTTTTAATTTATTGCTTTTTTTTTAAATTAATTTTTGTTGTTAATTTTTAGTTCCATTTCTTTACGACTTTTTGTAAGAAAATATCCCATTTTACATTGATAAAAGGCTGAGAAATAAGAGAAAATTTGTCTAAAATTACAAATAGTTGTATAAATAAATGAATTTATATATAAAGGATGGATTAAAACATTGTCCTCACTAGGCTGATGATTTATATTTTGCAAAAAATAGCTATCACCCAGGTGAATGATCTGCAAAAAATATTTAGCTAATTAAAAAAAAAAATAACAAATTTAGGAGATAATTCTTCGACTAGTGAATCATTCAAAAAGTTGTATTTTTTTTCACTTGTATGACATTTCATTGCTTTGCTGCTTAGCTGCTCACTCATACAAATGTTCGTATGGAAATGTACATAAAATCTCATGATGCGTAGCATTTTCACTTATTTTTTCTACGCACCCGAAATGTTTGTTGACAAATTGTCAGATTCATAACCATTTCAATACGTTTTTCCGCTGCCACATACCTTTCGGCTATTATTAATGGAATTTATATTGGTATTAATTTGCCGAGGCAGTGCAGCACCGTCAGTCAGATCCATATATTTATGGTGGTGTAGTGTTGTGAGGTGCCGCCAAGTGAGCTAGAAAATTATTCTCGTTGACCCAAATGCAGCCGCAACAAGCGTTTAGAAGGCGAAGCGAAAAACGTGAAATGCAATAATATTTGTTGTTGAAAATACTGGCAAAACGATATAAATATTAATAAATTTGTTGAAAATACCAAAAGGTGTTAAAATGGTTTTTCCGCACGTGTGTTTGTTGTGCGTAAAATATTCATTGTTGATGGTGGATAAAGGTGTGAAAGAATGCAATGAACTAGAATTTGTGGAAAAATATTATTGGATTAGGCTATGGAAAACTCAAATATATTTATATATTTTACAATATCAATTTTTTTAGTAAAAACCAAAAATAATAGAATAACAGGCTGAATAAAAATATGACAGAGAAATATTAAAAAAAAAAAATTATTAAAAACGAAATAAAAAACTATAAAGTAAAACAACAAATATTTCCTATTACCTCACTCCTTCGCCTTTATTCCTCCAAGTTTTAACGTCATATGCAAAGCGAGCTATTTAGTAAACGCTAGGCTGCGCTACAGCAACTCTCTAGTCTGTGAGCTTAACTCAATTTTGGCTAAATTTTCTGCGTTCAACGCTAACTAAGTGAAGGAAATATGTGGAAGTGCGCCGTTGTTGCTTATGTACTTGGCAATTTGCATACCTTAACACATGACAAGCAAGCGTTACATGCGTAGAAGTACCAGAACAATCATGCAAGCATACATATGTACATTATAAAGTAGAAGCACTCTGTTCGGCAAACGCATACCTGAGCAGACGCATAAATACCTATGCTGTGGCAAATATAATTCGCATGTTTTTCACATCCATTACATACTCCTTGTTAATAAATGCTCTTTGCACACTCCCAATGTGTCGATATTTGCTTATATTTCGGCTCAAACAGATTTTTCACGATTTTACGCCACATTGGCGCAACAATAAAAAAATGAATAATTTTAAAAGATTTGAAAAGAAAAACAAAAAAAAAAATTAAAATTATATAAAATAATAAAAATTTAACTAAAATGAAAAAAATAAAACAAAAAATAAAATAAAATAAAAGTAAATAAAATAAAATAAAAAAAAATAAAAAAAAATAAAATAAAATAAAATAAATTAATATAATATAAAATAAAATAAAATAAAATAAAATAAAATAAAATAAAATAAAATAAAATAAAATAAAATAAAATAAAATAAAATAAAATAAAATAAATTAAAAAAAAAATAATAATAATTTGAAGAAAGTAAATAAAGTAAGTTTGAGTAAGAAAGTCTTCTACAATATTTACAGCACTTGAAGTGGTCATATTTTTTTTATTTATTTCGGATATATATATAAATATATATATGTTTGTTTGCAAATATATAAATCTTTACTCTATTTCACAACCCTTCTTACCTTTTAAATCCTTTTTCCACCTTTTATTTCAGCCTGCCATCTCAGTAGTACCATAAGCCCCAACTAATCATTGTGCAGAAGCACCTTAATTAAATCAGGGGTCATAATATCGTGCCCAACGAATTGAGTACAACTGCCACCACTGTTGCCATTGACTCAGTTACGACTTTGCGAAATGGTGTGGTGTACAGGTCCGTTGTGGCAAGTGACAATTTGTGCATGCGCTGCATATATAAACTATACATACCAACAACAACACATGCTAACGCGTGCGCACATAAATGACACATTAAACGTTAGCATTTATAAGTTTAACTGCCGCAGCTTGGCAAATTTATTATTTTTATTGCTCTGAGGTCGCTTGTGTCTACACGCTACTGGTACAAGTAACTAAATTGTTTTGCTTTGTTATGCCATATGTCGTTGTGCTGTGTCGCATGCTATCGCTACTAGCATTGCTGTCATTAAGCGTGAAAAAATTAAGACAAAACACACAAAAAGCAACAACACCAACTATGGTTAACAATGACAGCAGCAGCAACAACGGTCGATTGTAATGAAAACGTGCAACCTTGCCCAAGCAGGCCAGTTAAACGTTGTTGTTGTTGTTACGTTTTATTGTTATTACTGCTGCAGCAGCGTCTAATGTTGCTTGCAGTTTGGCTTTTTATGTGTATTCGAACACGTTTAGTGCTAAATATTGAGTACCTCGAAGTTTTTTTGAATTTTTTTCTCTTATTTGAAGACAATAAAATGGAATCTCTTATGTAACTCTCCGCCTATGGATGTGATTTGTATAATATGTATGTATGAAAAGTGTTTAAAAGATGTGCGAAAGATATGTGAAAAAGTCTGGCACACATGCGTGGTTGTTGTTGAAATTTTTATTTTTTTTTATTTTTTTATGATAGTTTTTTTACAACAATAAAATCATTTATTTATTTAAAAAAAAAAATATTTTGTAACTCTTATCTTAATGAGAATTGGTAAGCTCCAGGGTTGATATATTGTGATACCAATAATTCAGCTTCATTTTCCATCCATTTCGATTTCTTATAATTTTTGTGGGATTATTTTTCCCAACGCTTTTTAGACTCCTCATCGTTCTTACAGCTTTCAAAAAATGTTTTTTAGGAAACTCCCAGTTCGCCTGTATATCATACTATTAGGTAGTGGCCTACCAGGACGCCTGCAACCTCTTAGATGTTCTTCTCTTAAGAGAATATCGCTTCTGTATGAACTTTTCTGTTCTGATTTTGACTTCTCCTACCTTGGAGCTATCCCCACTTGTAAGGAGTACTTTTTTGGTTCTCACTTCGTCTTCAATCTTCAATCGGTTTTTGCGTTTCCTGTTGGATGATTTCGGAACAGTAGGGACCGTAATCGGACGGCCTCTGTAGTTCCAGAAGTGTTGTCGTATTGTACTTAATTAAAGTTCGGCACTGTGTTTATGCAAAGTTTTGTGCCTTTGTTTTCTGTTCTTTGTTTTATGAGCGGTCTCTTGAGGAAAGCTCTCATGAATAAACTGATATTTTGTCCTTTACCACTAAAGAAAAGCTTTTATTTTGTTATTTGAAGGTTGTTCTCCACTTAGGGCTTAGCCTAACAGCGCCCGTGCCTCTGGAAGACTGCATGAGTTTTGACATAGTGAGAAGTGTAGTACCTTGCGAAGCCATTGTCGAAGTTCCCGAAGTCAATTGGTATCGGAGGCAAGATTTTTATTGTTGTTGTAGTAGGATAACTTAAATAATTTTCGTTTGACAGAAGCGTAGAACCGCAGAAGCTGATAATTCTTTACGTAGTTGAAGCGGTATCTGGCAGGCTCTTTTTGAGTATAGTCGGATGTCTCTAGCTGCAAGCTATTCAACATTGAAAACTTTGCCATGTTTGGATAGTTTAAAAGATGGGTTTCTTAATAAAAACTCTCAATTAACTTTTCTCCATCGGACTCGGTACTATATATTTCAGTGCTGGGAGTTAATGGTGATTGCGAAATAAGCGAAGGTCATGTGGTTTGGATGGATAAGAATACTCCAGCTTTGAAAGCTTTTAATGCAATACCCACCGGTGGAAGCAGAGGAAGGAAAAGACTGCCACTCCGTTTGAAAAGACCAAGTATAGAAGGACTTGAGCAAAAAGAAAGCTCACAAAGTGTTTAGGTTTTACTTTTTAACTCAGCTTCAATCGCGTAAGCGCTGCCTATGTCAGTAAAATAGAACAAGAAATAGACGAACTTATCTATGTTTTTAAAGTTATGATGAGAGCCTGGGATATCTCTTTTATAGTGGACTGGATAGATCTAATCGTTTGCCATAAAAGCCGAGGTGTTAACAGTGCGCAACATCATTTGGAAGACCAGGGCTCTGCTCACATCTAAATTCAAAATTATTGAAAAAAATATTTATTTTAATTAATGCCGGTCACCCCTTGGCCAAAGATTTTAAGCCCTACTAGTGTAAAATCTCGTTAGCCGTTCGGAAGTGGATTGGAATAAACTGTACTTCTCTCTATTTGCTGGAATAACATCAAGACGAATACCAGAAAATTGAGGAGGAGTTCGACCGAAAACACGCTTACGGAGCACTAATTATATATAATATGTACGTGTAATCAATTCGACCAAGTTGTGCAAGGACGCTGATTCTTGTTCCTCATCAGCCATTCGCTTTCATAACTGAACAGCTCAGCTGATAAACGATCGCTTGGATTGCCTTTCAAGCGGGCAATTGTTTTGCGGAACTCGTCATAGTGGAGGATGGAATGTACATTTTATCGTCAACGATTGGAAAATCGGTCTCACTTTCACTGAAATTCAGCAGGCTGGTGAAATCTACACTCCTTACACTCAGATAACCTTTTTGGGGCCCTACAGAAGTATGTTAGGGCTTCAAAGATTCTTTAGGTTGACGAATTTGTCTACAGAATTAACGTGTATTGCCCTTATGGGTCAACTCTTCAAACACTTTCTACTCACACATTTCGGGCTTCCTATTTTTATGTCGGCAAATGAGTCTCGCTTTCATTTTCCACACAGCGCGCGTTACGGTCGCTCGGTGGGGAGTTATTGTTTACACCTGTGAAGTGCTACTATCCTTTAACCTTGTCGAAGACCAACAGTTTTGCTTGGAGCTGCACATAGGGAGCTTGAAATATCGAGGATAAGCACTCTTAAAGACGACGTGAGGAAAAAAGAGATTTATACGAACTCATGGAGAACATTTCCACTTGGTAGAGTTCCAAATTTTATTTAAAAAATTATGAATAAAGAAACTTTTTTCAAGAGCTGAGCGAGAACATTGGAGATCAGATGCTTTTGATGAATTACTGTAGTGTTCTATATAAGTTCAGCCACCAAACCTATTTTTAAATTTTTTCTCCAAAATTCTTATTTTAGAATAATTATTTCCACAACTAAATCCCCACACAGTAGACTCTACCTAGGATTAATTCGTAAGCTGCAATTTAAAATAACTTGGCGTAAAGCACATTTCACGCATGTTTAAGCTAAAAATTTAAAATTCTACAAAATACCAGTATAACTGATGTCATTGGTGTTGCTGTAGCTAAAGTAACACAAATCGCACGCATACTAGTACAAATATAATGCAATTTTTAAAATTTTCAAAATTCCAATACCAATTTCAAATTTCCAATTTCAATTGCATGCTTTAATCGTTTGATGCCGAACTGATTGGCTGACGCGTTGTTACTGCTGTTTTTGTTGTTGCTGCCATCACTGATGCTATTCTCCTAATGGAAAACATGCTACCGCCAACCGCGAACTGTCGACCGCGAAACGACCGACCGTCAACCAACAACCGCTCATCCACGCAAAATAACCATCAATACAACGCGTAAATACCCCGACCACCCCCTCTGTTCCCTCACCATCGTTAATACAATGCAACGCTTGACTTGACTCACTGCGGCATGCATTCATATTTGGCTGGCGTTGGCGCATACAGGAATTGACCACAAACGAGACCAGCATTGCACTGACGCATTTGGAGCCACACGCTTTGTATCGCATTATGGTAGTGACGCGCGGACGGTATGGTACGGCGTTGCCATCATCGATGCTGTTGATCAATACCACGGATGATAAGAATGGTGAGTTGAATGTTGCGTTCTCTATGTGTAGTTAGAAATAAAATTTTTAAAATGCGTTAAATATCTTTTATATATGTAATAAGGATATAAGCATACTCATATATACATATTTATTGATGTACATATGTATGTATTCATATCATAGAAAACGCGCATAACTCATTTTTTTGTAATTTTCATAACATTTTTTGTTAGTACGTAATTATGCTTTATTTGGTAGTTAAAAATGTTTCTTCTTTAAAAATGGAACTAGTTGCAAAGTGGTGCCATATGGACTAGTTCAAACTTAAGACTATGAAAGCTTCTTTAATTATAATTTGTACTTTAAAACTTTATTTTATGGTTGCAAATTTTTTTCATTTAAAAAATCAACTAGTGCCAAATTGGTTGCATACGGACTAGTTCACTATCGAGACTTTGGAAAATTTTTTGATACAACTTACATAATAATTATTTCTTGTTGATTTTTGTTTCTTTTTTAAAAAAAAAATTACACTAATTTGAAACTAGTTACATACGGGTTAGTTCACATTCTGGTTCATCGGAAATTACTTTTGTACTAGAATTTTATACACTTCTACAACATTTTTCACATGTTTATTCACTTTGCCTTGTACTGTTATGAACATACATAAAACTATATATACACACATATAAACAAACATACATACACGTACATATGTATGCATTAGCTGACCAAATGTGGTTTAGTATGTGACATTGGCTCGCTCATTGTGTTTGTTTTTTGGAAGATATTTTTGGAATTTTTTCATTTTATTCTGTGCTCAGCACACAGCTCATTTTGGCTTTGGTACTTGCATACAAACATAAATATTTATAAAATTTTTTGTACATATCTACGACTACATACATACACACTCTCCAATTTCATTTATAGCCAAATTCAACAATAATACCTACGGTGCACCCTCACCGCCACACTCCCTCTCGATTACATCACACAGCGCGACCTGGATGCAATTAACTTGGCAGCCACCAGAATATTCACATCCGCATGAGAAGATCACCTACAGGTGAGTGGAAATGAATGGATTTGAGGGAAAATGCATAAGGATATTTAGGAATTATAAAAATTGTTTTAAATATAAGGAAATTTAAAGAGATTTAGTTGACGTGATTGCGTAATGCACTTATTGAATAAAGGAATAGATTAATCAGGCGATCGAAGCATTGCAGGTTTGAGTACCTGATAATTTGTGATTCTGGATTGTCAGGCTTCTTGGTCTACTGGAGATTCCACATCTGCGTACTGCCCACAAATTTTTAGCGATAGCCTCCTGATAGTCTAGACTATCGACTTGTAGGGTGCAGTTTAAGACCTGATCCTCTTGCTCTTCAAGAGGAGTTTACTTGAACTCTTAGAGCCTGACAACGTTTGTTGGTTCTCATTGCCTTTCGCAGAATTTTGCTCCTCCGTAAGTATTGTGGTTGGATAGACATATCATGTCTCCAAAATCTTTGCGATTGGGACGGAAAACTTAATAGTTTTAAAGAAGCCGGCCGCTAAAATGCGTGGCTTGCTTCTGTTATGCATGACGTGGCAGCGGATTGCACCGGTGCTGAATTTATGTTTTGCTAGATTTTGCTTGTGAGGGCCTGCTGACCTGACTGACGGCTTGACCTTTCTCTCTAAGGGCAGATACTTGGGGTAACTTTTTCTCTGGTTACTTATCACTATTTGCTCTTTTTGCTTCATCGACACGGCTCCCGAATATACTTGGGTCTATAGGCTAAATTTCTGTTATTTAACGGGCATCTTGTTTGTTGGTTGAGACCTTGCGGTGAGCAAAAAATTACTTTCAAAGGACCAGTTTACAGGACAACTTTCATACCGGACCTCAATTGTAAGAACCCTCTCCTAGACTCCACAAAGCCCGATAAAGTTTTTAAGTTCATCACGGAACCAAAAGGTTTCATATTTGGTGAATCTAAAAATATCGTCTAATAAATGATAGATTTTCTTATCTACTATTCAGCAGAAAACTCCATCTTCTTTAGAAGCTTAAGCTAAACTTGAGATATAACTAAATATTTCTTGCACTGTTCTTCCCCAGAATCTACCATAAACCCATGAAATCGGAGAAGTTTAACAAAATCGAGACCCGCGTAGCATGGCTGCGTATGAGCAACCTGAAGCCGAGTTCACAACACATACTCTACGTCGAGGCAGTGGGTGAGCATGCGACATCGCTACCCTCCGAAACGCTAGTGGCATGGACCGATCCCGCGCTACCAGCATTCGTTGATGTAAGTCATGGTGTCGAGGAATCTTTAAATAAAGTAACCTCTATCTTCTTATCTTCCAGCCACCCACCGTGCATCCGGCAGATAACATACCCGAAGGCGGTTCGATGACAATACTCTGTCTGGCTTTGGGTAATCCAGCGCCTACGATTTCACTGTACGTCGGCGGTCATTTGGTGCGTCAAGACACATCGAGACATATGGTCACAGTTATACATAATGTCAGCGCCGATATGGAGCATATTTCTTGCTATGCGGACAACGGTTATGGCGTACCTATGCAGGCCACAAGAAGAGTTAATATTTGTTGTGAGTATTTTGAAGGTTTACCTCTACTTGTCATCTATATCCTCACTGATTTATTTTAACTTGCTTTTAATACTTTCTTCTCTACACAGACGCGCCAAAAATCACCGCTGCCGGCATTACCGTCGCCTCGTTAGGCGATGATGTTGAGCTGCGCTGCACTGTGGATGCCAAGCCGACACCAAAGACCATCTTCTGGCGCGATCATGATGGGCGTGTGCCAGTCATACAGGGCGGACATTTCGATATCTCCACCAAAATAAATGAGTCACACACGAATCTCCACACAATGTCGTTGCGCATCAACAAAGTGCTAGCGACCGATGTAGGCGATTACTTCTGCCATGCCGAGAATGCTTTTGGCTCCTCAACAACCGCCGTCTCGGTGCGTATACGCACCACACCGGCGCTCGGTCGCAACGTCTCGGAGTGTTGCCGTCAAATGAATGTCTCGTTGGCCTGCAGCGCCGCTTGTAGTTATTATGTGGATATAGAGGCGATCGCCGATAAGCCCGAGTGTATTGTGGACTTTGATAAGTTGATGAAATGTGCAGCGGATGGTTCGGATCATCGTAGCTGTTGTGCGGATGCGAATGTGCCGCGAAAATGTTTGAACTGGTGTCGTGGGGATGCGGTGCGATCAAAGGAGATCTGCAGTTTGCAATATTCACGTACCATTGTGGGTTGCTTTGAGATGAATCGGGATAAGTTACCGGGTCCGCCGGAAAATATTGCTGTTAGTGTGATGTCGGACAATGAAGTGATGATCAGGTGAGTTTGTGGTTCGAGAGGTGGGGGGGGGGGGGGGGGGGGTGTGTTATAAGGTTACGGCAAACAGTCTTGAAACAAATGCCTATTGATTTCAATGTAACCTGTCACAGCTGTTGTTAGTAAGTCGATTTGGGCCGCATCAGATTTCTTGACTCGTTTTAAGGTTAGGATGGCTCCCTCGCAAGTTGTATGGCTACCACCGATGTAAGACAAAAAAAAATCGGCCTTAATCTTCCAATTTACTCTATTGATCTGAGCTAACGTGCACAGTTCAAAGATAACCTGAATAAGGTCACGTCGAAAGTATGTCTTACACAGATTTAAGTTGATGGGAAATGTTCAAGAAACCTTTTATTTAAGACCTCATTTCAGGATTAGTTCTTAACCTGCCTCTGGCTAACGGAGTCCGAGCCGCAGTGGTCTTCGTCTGTCGTCTGGTGTCCAAATTTACAGGAAACTGGCTTTATAATGACTAATCGAGCTCAAAATGACTTCTTCGCTATTTTTACACCGAGTTTTACCCAGTTCAAAATCGATCTCAAGAAGAGAGTTTCGGAAGCAACTCCCCAGCCTTGATCTAGTTTGCTTCCGAGAAGAGGTATACCTAATCCTGGAAGAATTTGGCTGCACTTAAGAACTCTGGTATTGGAAACTTTAAGAACTTCGCAGTATCTTTTTTGTTTTTCAAAAGCCTGCTTAGTTTTAGGCGTTTCTAAACCTGTCTGGAGAGTTTTATCAGGAGGAATATCGAATAAAATTTATTAAATCTCAGAACTATTTCGACGTCTTTATTCGAATTTGCAAGCATTTCTATACCAATGAAGTTAATCCCTTTTTCCCATATCCAGATGGGATCCACCACAAAAGAACCCGAACGTCGTTGAGGGCTATCGGATATTCTATCATGAAGCAGCCATACTGGCGCCCGATTCCAGCGAGTCCAGTGGTGATGGCATTGCCTATAACACAACAAATTTGTTAAACTCAACCGAAATAAGACGAATCGATGTCAAAGACACGACAGTGAATATAAATGGACTCAAGAAGGATGTGCTCTATGAGTTGGTGGTCAAAGCTGGCAATTCGTTTGGTGAGTGAGGAAATTAAAAAGAGAAAATTGATTAAAATTTTATAATAACAATAATAATAGTAACAACAATTAAGTTGAAATAAAATTTATATTTTCAATTAATTTTTATTTTTTCTTATTTTCCACCTTACTCTCGATGGCCTTGCAGGTGCCAGCATTCTCACTGAACCTGTAAAATTCACTCTCGGTGATCATCATGTCACCTCAGCGACGACTTATTCGAATACTGTCGGCACTATTAGCGGCATTGTAGCAAGCATTTTGGCCTTGTTGTTGGCAGCAGCAGCCATTGTATTTTATCGGCGTCATCGTGCACATAACGGTAAGGCTGGTAATGGTGTGGCATTTGAGAATCCAACCTATACGCGTGGACTGGAGCAAGTGCAGGTGAGTGCGGACGGTGTTTATATGTGAACATGTAGATAGTTTGTGTGTGTGTGTGTATTTTATGAAATTTAAAGAATTCGGAGAACTCAAAGTATTAGGTGTGTAGGTGAACATTATTGACAGTGTGTGCAACTATATTACTCTGATTGTGTAATTTTTTTTCGTGTCTGTGATGTTAGCATTTCGTCTTTATAGTTTTTTTTTTTATTGGCGAAGAGGAAATGGCATATATGCAAATTGGCATGAGGACATGTGTATATGTTTATGTGTATAATATAATTTTTTTTTTTTGTACTGTGTGAGCAATTATTTTTTTTTTTGGTCACTTCAGGAATTTTCAACTGAAAAGTTAACTAGATGGATAATTCGAATAAATTCTAAATAATTTTTAAAAATTTCTATAGCATTATTTTTTTTTCAATCAAGTGTTCTATTAAAAAATATTAGTTGCCAATAAAATTAAGTACTGAAAAATATTAAAAAAAATACCCGAAAAATTATTAAAAAAAACAACTTATACTTATATCAAAAGAAAAAAAAAAAGAAATGTATATGTACATATATACATATTATGCATATAAATATAAATGCAGTATATGTTCCAAAAAAGCCAAATAATTATCATACTAAATAAATGGATATAAGTTTATTAAAAAATAAATAAATATTAAAATTATTTCATTTAGATTTGCAGACATCTAGAGGAAAAATTTTTCAACAAATTGTAAATTAGGAAAATATGTACCTTTTTTTGGGAAAATTGTGAAAATATGTACGTTTTCAAACTCTTGTTAGAAAACCAGTTACAAAAATATATTTAAAAAATAACCAAATGAAAAAAACTTCAAATATCTAATTAAAAAATTAAGCGACGAAATATTTTTTTATAATAGATATTCCTTATTGGAGAGAAATATATAAAAAAATTGAGTATATCACTTTGAAGCACTAAAATATTAATAAAAAATTTTAAAAGCAACTGGAAGATTGGATTTGTTTTACTTTGTTCAATTTATTAATATTAGTTATTTTATATTTATTTAACTTTTTGACTTAAAATATTTGAATTTTTATTACAATTAATTTTAGATTAATTTGATTTCATTTTCGCTGGTTCATTTTATTTTATTTTATTTTATTTTATTTTATTTTATTTTATTTTATTTTATTTTATTTTATTTTATTTTATTTTATTTTATTGTATTTTATTTTATTTTATTTTATTTTATTTTACTTCATTTTATTTTATTTTATTTTATTGTATTTTATTTTATTTTATTTTATTTTATTTTATTTTATTTTATTTTATTTTATTTTATTTTATTTTATTTTATTTTATTTTATTTCATTTTATTTTATTTTATTTCATTTTATTTTATTTTATTTTACTTTATTTGATTTCATTTTATTTTATTTTATTTTACTTTATTTGATTTCAAAAAAAGGAAGGTCCGCCTAAAAAAGATTTAAGACATATATTTTAGCTTGGGCCTTTTACTAAACAAAGAATTTTGTATTTTTCAAAGCTTAGTGAAGAATGTAGATATAAAGCAGCAAATAAATTTCTTTCTGAGTTTTTTTGAAGTTAAGCAGAGACAAAATCTAAAAATATAAATGAAAATTTTGTAAATAATATAAAAATATGTGTCAATAATACTTAGCTTTACTTACATACACTTATAAAAAGTAACCTTTCCTACGTAGATTTTTTCATACTGAATGTCCAAACAAAATCTAAAAAACGTGCGGTGTATTTAGTTTTTGTATATGTATACGCACATGTTAATCTTTAAAGGGCTTCACACAATTTTTGTATCCATTTTTTTTTTTTTTTGCTATCTTACTTTATATATGAGCAAACAACAGGAAAAATGTTGATTTCCGATATATGCGAACATCGAAATCCTCTCTCGTTCATGGTATATTGCGAAAAAGTGAAGTGAAGTGAAGCTTCAAATCCCCCACTGAATAATTCCCAACTGCAATATTTGACTTTGTTTGCGTAAATGCCAAAGCTCCACAGCTGCAATGCAGCTTAGCTGGCCGCTTAAGCCCATTTACATATCTTACTGTTTGTAATAAACGAACAAATGTTTACTTATACACATATATGTATATATATATACGTATGTGTGTATGTACATATTATATTGTATCGCCATTTATTTATTTGTAAAGATGACAAATGTATGCATTGAGCAGTGCAGTGTTTACCGTGTTGCAGCATATGAGGTTATATATATATTTAATTTTTTTTTAATTTTTTTTTATATATGTAACATAGTTTGCATTTTAATTTAAATATTTTACTCATTCCATTTAAATTTAATTTTTTTTTACATTTGCATATTATATTTTATATTAGCATTTATACTTAGTTTTTTTATTTTGGAATTAATTTATAGTGTTTTATATTTTTGTAAATCATATTTTTGGTTTTATATTTTACAAAATTTTAATAAATTATTTCTATTTAAATATATTTTTTAAATAATTTTTACGATTTGTGTTTTCTTTCTTTAATATAAAATTTTTGCTATTTACATTTTATAGCTTAATTTTTTTTAAATTTTATATTAAACCATTAACTATTTATTAGCATTAAATTTGGCATGTGCTTTTATACATTATTATATATAATACTAATATTATATTTATTATGTGTTGTAATTATTTTTTTTAATTAACGTCTAATTCAAAATATTTCTTTAAAATCATTTTAATAGTTTTAAATTATAATTTATATTATTCTACCTATTGTAAAACAGTTTTTTTTTTCATTCTAATTTCTTTTAAAAAATTGTATTTTAAAATTTTTATTATTAATTAATTAATTTCTTCAATTATATTTAAATTTAATATATTTATACATAAACTATTTTTATTTAATGTTCATATAATAAATTCCATATTCCGTTATTTTATTTATTTTAATATCTAATTTTGTTTTCTTTTCATTTATTTTATTTCTTTTTTATATAATTTTTTTTTTGATTCTATGAAATTTTTATTTTGTTTATATTTTAAAATTTCAAATTTTCCTTACAATTACATTTTTATTCAAATTTCTTATTTTATTTCTTAATTTAATTTTTTTTATATTGTTTATCATTAAATTTAAATATATTTTTTTTTAAATTAATATTTGGTTTATTATTTCCATTGAAATTTAATTCTTGTAATCGTATTTTCTTCGGTTTAATTTTTTTTTTACTAACCTTTTGTTTAAGACTACTATTTTATATTTTATAAATTTTTTTCATAATTCTTATTTGAAGTAAATGGTCTCAGACTGACTTTCAATTACTTTTAGTTGTTTTTTTTTGTGCAGTAAAGTTATACGTCCGATATTGCATGTATGCCACTCTCCTTCTGCAACTCTTATGAATTCAACCTGAAAATTTTTTGTGTGTTAGTTATTTATGTGTCAGCAATAATCAGAGATAAATTTTTTGTTTCTGTAGTTTTTAGTCCACCTTACAAAATTGTGTATATATTTTAACATTTTGTGTATATATAAATTCCACAATTTAACAATTTTTAATACATATATTTCTTTCTTTCTTTTCCTGCCTCTGTATCTTTTTCTTTTTTGTCTTATATATTTATATGTTTTACGTGGCCTGGGCAATACAATAACACTGGCTTCGTATATAACGGTTTTATTGCAATTTATTGTATGCTGGAATTTACGCAATAAAATCGACTACAATAAACGACAATAACGACAATGGAAAAATATTAAAAAAAAATGTGAAATAACAAAAACATAATCAAACAACAACAACAATTCAAAACATACAAAAAAATGGAAATCAACTACCTACCACCACAATCAAACCAATCATGCAAATATTTGCTGCTGCTGCTATTTATATGTTCATGTGTGTGCGTGTTGGAATATGTGCGGCTGAAAATTGTTTGCCGGAATGATTCAACCTTCAACATTTTTAAACTGACATTTTGAATTTTTTTTTTGATAAAAAATATAAATTTTTATGACAAAATATTTTGGTTTGGGTCAAAAATTGAACTTGAAAAATAATACAAAAAATCAAAAAAAAAAAATATATTAACAATAAAATAAATTTTTTTTAATAACTAAAAAATAAAAAAACAAAAAATAAAATTTTATCTTCCTGTGATAATTTGACAATTCTTGATTATAACATTAACGGCATCATTTATTTATTTTAAAAATGGATTCATACGCAAATGTTATATGACAATAAAAAATTATTATTTAATAAATTATAATTTTAAACCGCACATATTCAAAAAATATTAAATATAATTAAAAAATTCTTAAAACGACAAAATTAAACTCATAACTTCTTAAAAATTATAAAAATAAAAATTTATGAAAAATTAATAAATGATTAAATACAATTCGAATGAAAAATTTGATCAAATGTAACCTAAAAATTATGCATAAATTATAATTTAAAATATGTTTAATGTTGTTAACATATGGCGTCGTTAACATTAATGTCACTGAAAAAAAAATTGAATTTTTTTGTGTGCAAACATTTTCTTTTTATTTTTTCTAAATTTAAACTAAATTGCATTGAAATTTTTTGTTAATTTTCTTATTAATTTTTTATCATACTTAATTTTTTTAATTGGAAAATCTCCTTACTTTTTTATTTTGTGTTTTCCAATTGAAATTTTTTTCATTACCTTTGCACCTTTATTTCTCTTTGTTGTATTCCTTTATATATTTTTAATTTTTTTTTTAATATTAATTTTTTTTTTTAATTTTATTTATTTTTATATTTTTCTACAAAAAATGTATCTCTTTACCTTCACGCCTTTACTCACATTCATCGGCAACAACAACTACTGTGCCATCTCCACTCAATGCTTTTACGCGAATTATTTGTTTTCATAATCCTTATTCTCGCTTTTCTTCCTCTATTTGCTGCTGGTGGCGAATGAATACTGCCATTGATGCTGTGGCTATGGCAACGCAACAATGACCAATTCTCAACATAATATTTTTTTCTGTTTTTTGACTTTAACTCCTATTTATACTTCTCACTCTCCACCTCCTATCCCACACACACAATCGTACGCACTCGCCACACAGCTCCCTACCGTAACCTCAGCTATAACGCATGCCGGCAGCACCGCCCAAACCGCGCAGCGTGAAGGTATTGTCAACGATGCGAATGCAGACGCGCACACACAATGCAACGAAGTAAATCCGACAATTTATGAGGAGCTCAAACTTGGCCAAGAAGGTGCTGGATTCAAGAAACTTGTGCCATAAATGCCAAAAAAAAAAAAAAAATAAGAATAAAATGTGCAACATATATAGAAAAATCACAACACAAATGAATGCGCACACATAAGAATACAGACAGTCATAAGTAACAAAAGTAGTAGAAAAATGTATAAAAATCTGATAAAATAGTTATGCTTAGCTATCGGTGCAAGCAACAGTTTGCTAACAGATTCATAAAGCGTTTAAAAGCTAATAGCCACATACCTGTACACACACACACGCATCCCACACAATCGAGCGCACAAATAAAATAGTCAAAATATACATATAAAATACAAATCTAGTTAGCATATGTTGGTGTATGTATTATGTTTGTATTTAATGTAATGCTAGTACACTGGGGCGTATACGTAACTTTTAATATTGCTTATGAAGTATAAATGGAAAAATTAACAAAAAAAAAGTTTAAAAATTCAACCATTGTGAGAAAGCATAAAATGCTACAAGAAATTGCTAGTTAATAAATAAAATAATGAAAATTAAAAATAAATTCAAATAAATAAACAAAAGTTCGATGAATATTCACTAAATAAATATAAATATAAAAATTTCAAACAAAAAGAAAAAATAAAATAAACTTAAATAAAGAGAAACAACATAAATAAAAAAGATCAAATAAAAAAACTAAGAATACAAAATAAAAAATTTGAAATGAAATAAATTGAAAAAATTAAATAAATTCAATTAAAATAATGTGAATTAAAAAAATTAAATAAATAAAATGAAATAAAAAATAAATTAAAATAAAATAAAAACTAAATAAAGTCAAATATAACAGTGTAAAATAAAATAAAGTCAAATAAAATAAAAAAAATACATAAATAAAATAAAACGAAATAAAATAAAATTAAATAAAAAGTAAAATAAAAAAAAAATAAAATAATATAATATGAGATAAAATAAAACAAAAAAAATTGTTTAAAGTAAAATATTAAAATAAAATGAAATATAAAATAAAACATGACAAATTTAAATAAAATAAAGTGAAATATAAAATGTAATATAAATATAAATAATAAAAAATGGATTAAAATGAAGTAAAAAAAAAATTAAAATTAAATTGAAAAAAGAAATAAAATATAATTTAATATATTTAAATATAATTGATTAATTAAAAAGTAGACATATGAAATCAGAAAAGTATAAAAGATTTAGTATAAGTTGTGTGTGTAAGCTGATTTACTAGTTTTTAAGTACGGAATACGTTGTTTGTTTGCTATACACGATTGAAGCACAAACCAATTGATTATTGGTAGAATTGCGACAAATTTACGGTATAATCAGTTGAAGCTTAGCTTCTTTTAAGCACCAAGCGTAAAATATGTTTTAAAAAAATTTTGTAATATATTATTAATACTGTATTAAAATACTATTGTAAATGTATGTAATTTGCTTTAATTTGTATTATTATGTATTGTAAATTTTTAGCAGCTAAAATTTAGATTGAATATTAAACTAAACCAAAAACCAAAAAAAAAAAATTAAATAAAATAAATCCCTTGTAGTTTTCTTTATATCTGACTTAAAAAAATTAGATTATCAACTTTATCAGCTAGCATATAATAATCGACAAAATTCTTTTGGATTATGTACCTCAGTGTGTTTGTATTTTTTTTTTAATATTTATTTTGAGGTAATAACAGAATTAAAATTTCTTCCAAAGCTTTTTATCAAATTTGCATAATTTAAAAAAAAAATGTGCAAAATATTTATTTAAAATCAGGCAAACCTGCATTTTCGATTATACAACAGTGATTTGACAGAAAAAATTGCATTTTGCTTTGATTTCGCCACAAAATACAAAAATAAAATCTCCGACAACTGAAATGCGAGTACTTCTTTTTGCATTTTAATTAATTTCAAAACACCAAAAAAATATACAAATCCCAGTTGTTTTGTGCGATATGCAAAGAGTAAACAAAGCAAGCATTTCATTACAAATCCGGAGCTTAGCAAATGACAACGAGTCTAAAATAATGTGTATCAATGGGATTTTGTAATTAATTTCGGCAATTTTTTATGTCTTTGCTAGACTTGCTTATGCAAACAAATAAATTTTTGGAGTATTTGCTTAGGCGTAAAATATATTTATTTAAATTTCATTGAAATTTTTTTAAAGTTGCGCTATTTTTAGATTAAAATAATCTGGTTAGTAAAATATGTGAAACAAATTTTAATTGAGCTAGATTTTTTAAACATTTTCAATCAATTTAATTCACCTTGGAAAATGCTAATATTTTTTTTTGTTTGTAATAACCTCTTAAAAATTTGATATAACCTTACTTAACCCGATATTAAAAACGTAATTATTAATAATTTTTATTTCGAATTAAAAGTAAGCAACATAAAAAGGCGAACATAAATATTTCTAAACAAATATAAACTAGAAACATACGTACTTTTCTCATAATTCAAATTTGATAGGCTACAGTCACTCCATTGCCGCTAGCAACTCCGTGAAAAAGTAGCAAATAGCTGATCTATATGTATAATTAAAAATTAAGAAGCCAAATGTAGTGTGAATGTCTAACAGTAATTAGCAACTAGATAAGTCCATGTAAAGTCAAAACCCTTATTTGTTGTAAAATTGATATACTTATGTACATTCTTTTTCCGTTTGTGCCTTCATTACCTGTGGACTTATATAAGTAGACGCTTTACGAGTTAAAGTGCACTGGGTAAGTAAAATTCAGCGCTTTTCACTCAAAATGGAAAACAATTGATCTTTTATGAGAAACAAAACAAAGAAATATACAAATATTAAATAAAGCAATATAAAATAAAATTAAATTAAATGAAACAGAATAAAATAAAGTAAAATAAAATAAAATAAAATAAAATAAAATATAATAAAATAAAATAAAATAAAATAAAATAAAATAAAATAAAATAAAATAAAATAAAATAAAAGAAAATAAAATAAAGTAAAATTAGGAAAACTAAGTAAAATAAAATAAACTGAAACAAAATGAAATAAAATAACATAAATAAAAATAAATAAGTAAAGAGAAAAATATAGTAAAATAATTATTTAATAAAAAGTAAAATAAAAAAATTTAAATATTTTGTAATGCCAAATTTATTATCGGTTTTTTCTTTAATTTTCCACTCTCTTTCTTTCCTTTAATTCTGTTTTGTTTATTGTAGGCCTACGAATTTTAATTACAAACGTCAGTGGCCATTAGTCTTGCAGATTTCAACTACAGCAACAGTGGACAACAGCAGCGCGTAGTTGAGTAAGGAAGGTGACCAAGTTAAAGGAAGCAAAAATTTGAAAGAACTACAACAACAAAGCACGTGTTGAGAGTTTTAAATACAATTTAAAATAAGTCAAAGCTAATAACAAAAGAAAAGGGAAAACAAAGCGGCATAGAATGCGTAGGCTGGCCATGAAAACCTGAATGGCGGTATATTTCCCACTCGATAAGGTGGACAGGTTTTCATTGGTAGAAAGACATAACAGAAGATGTATATTTTCTTCACACTTTTCCACATAAATTCTTGTAACATTTTCGTTACTGCGCAGCTCATATGAGTTTGTTGTTTTATTACTTAATTGTATTTACTGTTGCTCTTTGCTGTTGGCTCTTGACACTTGCTCGTGTTTCCGTTGCAGCTCAGGGTCATAGCGTGACTTGACCTTATTAACTTACAATGCACACAAATATTTTACTTTTTTTTATTTTTATTTTTATTTTTCGATTTTCTCTTTTATTTGTGAATAAATGAAAATTTCTGACGATTTAATTTTAGTTGTAAATTTTACATGCACACTTATATACATAAATATGCATGTATTACGATGTATAGCAGACATTTGCTTAGAAATGTACAAATAAACGAACGATAATAAATGTATGTGTAAATATAATTTAAAAGACTTTTGTGGTGTTTTCTTTTTTTTTACGGTGGAAAGCGAGGAATGTAAGTATGAGTTATGACGGCAAAGTATAGAGTTTTTCAGAGAAATATGTACTGAATTTTAATTCAAAAAAAGCTAAAATTGATGGCGATTTCTTTCATGTCGAATGAACTCCAGAGACAGGAGCATTTTGCCGGATTCCCTTCTGGTAGCATGTACGTCAAGGATGCAGCCCCTTTTTGATCGACAAACCGCTCAAAAAGTCAACGAAGCTCGGCCACAGGTCAAGCCAAATTTGCATATAATTCATCAAGGCAGAGAAAGAGGTAATACACATTACTCTTGGCATACTTTGGAGTTTTTAAAAAATGCCTACTCAAAGGCTCAATTTTTGAGTGCTACCTGAAGTGATTATAATCAAGGAAATGCGTCAAAATCTAATCGTTTCTGAAGTGACGCATTACGGACAATGGAAGAGAATATGAATGTTTAAAGACGGACAGTACTCCACAAACGCCTTCAAACCCAAACAATGTGATACTGAGATTCGAAGTGAACTGTCCATTATTGGCTGTTATAACCTGGCAAAGTGGTGAGTTTTCAGCTTCACAGTGATAAACTAAGACCAGTTCTACGTAAAAATTATTCAAACCAGACAATATACATCTGTGTGATTGATGTTGGTGTAAGTTGCTTGGAAAGTTTGAATGACACTATCCACCATATGTCCGGATTTTGCACAATCCGACATCCTTTTACCTTTACAAAACTCTTTTGATGGTTAAAAATTTACCGATCCAAGAAGCTCTAAAATCATTTACCTAGTCCTTCACCGATAAATCACAGATCCTCTACGCTGATGATATTACGAAGCTGCCAGGAAAATGGCAAAATGTAGTAGATTATACTAGCTTCCCGACTAAAACGAGATTCGAGCAAAGATTGCCCGCTTAAAGCACAACAAAGCGACTGCGGTCAATGGCTAACCGGCTAAGATATTTAGATATGACAGTGAAGACCGGACAAACCGCGTGCATCAGCTTATTTTCAAAATATGCTAAGACGAAAGTAAGCACCACAATTGGAACATAAATGGGTGGATGCCTAGTTGCCTATGATAACTCAAATAAGAAACTACATCTGCGACGATATGAC